TGGGCCAGCTATGGGTGGTTAACTGTAGTGTAAACATACCCTTACACCGTTCTTGAATTATTGACACCAGAACTGAGCACACGATTCCACCAATGGTCACACCAGTATAAATGAACTAAAATAACATGCTTGAGATTCCCCTATTAATGCATCCAAGGATCACATTAGCCTTTTTGGCCACAGCTTCATATTGGAAGATCATGTTCAGACGATGACCCACCATGATGGTGTAAACATACCCTTACACCGTTCTTGAATTATTGACACCAGAACTGAGCACACGATTCCACCAATGGTCACACCAGTATAAATGAACTAAAATAACATGCTTGAGATTCCCCTATTAATGCATCCAAGGATCACATTAGCCTTTTTGGCCACAGCTTCATATTGGAAGATCATGTTCAGACGATGACCCACCATGATGCCCAAATCTTTTTCAGAGTCACTGCTTCCCAGGATAGAGTCGTGCATCCTGTAAGTGTAGCCCACATTCTTTGTCCATATATATTTATCTGAATTAAAACATACCCAACATAATCTAGATTGTTTTGTCTCATTGACCAATCCTCTACTTATCTAACATTGCTCCAAATTCTTTTTTGTCATCTGCAAACTTAATCAGTGGTAATTTTATTTTCTTGAAGGTCCTGGATAATGTTAAACAATATAGGGCTACAAAATAATTCCTTAGAGACTCCATTAGATACACACCCAATCAATGTGATTCCCATTTACAAATAATTGTTAATTTTTAATTCCTACATGACATGCTGTCACGGGGCGCGACCCCAGTCCGCCGCCCCCACTGTTTTGTTTACAGTCAGGTGGTGCCCAATGCACCGCTTGCTCGCACACCTCCTTGGCGGAGTGGGGGGTCCGGGCCCGCCCTCACTCCGGACCCCGACCCAGGGCCCTGACACCGAGAGCGTGCCTCTCGGTGGTAGCAGGGGGGTAGTACCCCAAACGCACCTGCTCCCGGGATACACGACCCGCCCTGGGTCCTACTCCACTCCGCCGGCCGCTGCCCCGCTTACCGGGTTGCTCCGTTCCCTGCCTTCCCGTCCGGGACCGCTCCGCTCGGGGCTCCTCTGCCCGTGGCTCGCCTTCCCTCCTCCTGGCTTCCCCCTTGCCGCTCTCGTTCCGGCCCTTTTCTGCTCCTCTCCACTTCCGGGTTCCCCCCTCCCTCCTCCGTTGTCGCACTCGTGACGTCACCCGCCACGCTCCCGGGCGCGCCGTGATGACGCGCCGCGGCCTCCCCGTCCCCGTTCCCTGCGTCCTCCGGCGCTGAGGCGTCTGCGTCCCTCTCTCCCGCGGCCCCCGCTGCCGCTTGCGAGTGGCGGGGCGGTTCTGCCCCGTCACAGTATCGCAACAATGCGTGTCAGGGCTCCATAGGAGGAGAAATTTTAACCTGATCATTGGATTTTAGGGAATTAATTTTTAAAGATTAATTTAGGGAAATAGGGCAGCTACATTTGGAACACTCTTTACAGAAGCACTGGAACGATTTTTGGGGTAGGGATCTGAGTTACGACCCTCCTCCCCTTACAGCTGTTTCATACCTCTTCAATAGATGTCAGCTCTCCCGGACCGTAAAGGCTGGACATCATTGCCATGGTCAAGACCCAGGCCAAGGCCAGGGGCTGAGCTCTATGTTGGCGATGTGATCCTGGGCAGCAGTGAAGCCTCCAGGGAGAGTAGCCTGGACTCTAGAGTTAGTGGGATGTAGGAAGGGACAGGCAGCGGGAACCTAAGGGCCAGCAGAGCTGAAACCAGAGGGACCAGCAGGACCCTGGAGGCCTGCCAGGACCCCC